TGAAGGTGTTTCAGATTTTCGAGTATCATTTGCTTTTGCTCTACTTTCTTCTCTCCATTGATTTTGACGGATACTTTATCTTTCATCCCTGGCATGACACGACTATTCTCTAGATAAAACTTTTGTACTTTCTCGACCGTTGGTTTTGAGAGTGAATGGCCTGCTTTCGCAATTGGTGAACAAATACTCCTTTGATTTCTCTCAATTTTTTCGCTCTTGACGCCATGTATCTCGTAATGCCAAATTCAGAAGTGATTTTCCGCTCGCTTCACGACTGTGGAAGAACCGTCAAGATTTGCGAGCGCTCACCGTACTTTTCCAGATGATTGAATTTTTTCTTTAAACCATCCAGCATTTCTTCTAATTCTATTTCTCTCGAAGATCGATAGCGCTTTGATAAAGAAGGATCAGCGTCACTTTGGTCATCTTCCGCATCAGAATGCATGGGGGAACTGGAGAATTCAGATACATTGTCAGCTTCTTCATCGATTGAAATGCCGGAATCGTCGAGACGGAAAGACCGACCGGATCTCAGAACTGTTCCTCACATCTGGGCTTGGTTCGGGTGTTTCGGCTTGGGGCTTTGATATCTCGGGTGGGGTGTCCGAACATCGAAGATGTGTATCATGAAGATTCACCATTGAGACGGGTGGAATCGCATAATTCGGAGCCATCTTCCGGCACTGACCCCAGATTTTCGCAGACTTTGGTAGAAAGGGAAACCTTTTGTGTATTGCTGAGGAAATGGGTCGCAAATCCAAACCATTGTGTCTCTTCTGACCAGGAATCCGCATCGGATTCGTACACCTATCACTTCGCGGATTCTATAAAATGCAAAATTATTCAATCCAATCCAAAATTATCCGGAAAATGAGGATTATTTCAATAAGTAACGTGAAAACTGCTTACCTCGATATAACAGACAGGAAAATGCGAATCGATTCGCAAGGAATTGTACAACGATGAAAACTCAATGAGGAAGTTGAAGTTTTCATTAAAACTAGAGCTTCAGAAACAACTGATGATATTAAATCAACGAATTGATTCTTTTTGTTTTCTTTTCTCATTTGTTTGGTCATGATTAGGCGAACTTCCGATGATGATGACACAGTATCGCTCTCATAGAAAGCGAAAAGACGCAAAAATTTTGAAGAAAATTTTTTTCCCGACGCATTGTTTCTCTTTTCCATCGTGACGCATCTTTGNTACTTTATCTTTCATCCCTGGCATGACACGACTATTCTCTAGATAAAACTTTTGTACTTTCTCGACCGTTGGTTTTGAGAGTGAATGGCCTGCTTTCGCAATTGGTGAACAAATACTCCTTTGATTTCTCTCAATTTTTTCGCTCTTGACGCCATGTATCTCGTAATGCCAAATTCAGAAGTGATTTTCCGCTCGCTTCACGACTGTGGAAGAACCGTCAAGATTTGCGAGCGCTCACCGTACTTTTCCAGATGATTGAATTTTTTCTTTAAACCATCCAGCATTTCTTCTAATTCTATTTCTCTCGAAGATCGATAGCGCTTTGATAAAGAAGGATCAGCGTCACTTTGGTCATCTTCCGCATCAGAATGCATGGGGGAACTGGAGAATTCAGATACATTGTCAGCTTCTTCATCGATTGAAATGCCGGAATCGTCGAGACGGAAAGACCGACCGGATCTCAGAACTGTTCCTCACATCTGGGCTTGGTTCGGGTGTTTCGGCTTGGGGCTTTGATATCTCGGGTGGGGTGTCCGAACATCGAAGATGTGTATCATGAAGATTCACCATTGAGACGGGTGGAATCGCATAATTCGGAGCCATCTTCCGGCACTGACCCCAGATTTTCGCAGACTTTGGTAGAAAGGGAAACCTTTTGTGTATTGCTGAGGAAATGGGTCGCAAATCCAAACCATTGTGTCTCTTCTGACCAGGAATCCGCATCGGATTCGTACACCTATCACTTCGCGGATTCTATAAAATGCAAAATTATTCAATCCAATCCAAAATTATCCGGAAAATGAGGATTATTTCAATAAGTAACGTGAAAACTGCTTACCTCGATATAACAGACAGGAAAATGCGAATCGATTCGCAAGGAATTGTACAACGATGAAAACTCAATGAGGAAGTTGAAGTTTTCATTAAAACTAGAGCTTCAGAAACAACTGATGATATTAAATCAACGAATTGATTCTTTTTGTTTTCTTTTCTCATTTGTTTGGTCATGATTAGGCGAACTTCCGATGATGATGACACAGTATCGCTCTCATAGAAAGCGAAAAGACGCAAAAATTTTGAAGAAAATTTTTTTCCCGACGCATTGTTTCTCTTTTCCATCGTGACGCATCTTTGTTCTAACTCATATTCATCAAAGGTATGGATTGAAATATCAATTTCTCAATAAAAACAAGGCAGCTCTCCTAGAAGGCGTAAAAACACGAAAATTTAGGAAACAAACATTTTCTCCGGTACACTGGTTGTCTCTCCCACGATGGCGTATTTTTTGCACATCATATATGGACGTCCTCTATGAGAAGAAAATTATTCCAGTCGAATACCGGACGGCCCTAGAGCCAAATAAAAATGAAAATTTAAAAATTCATCGAAATTTAGGTGTAGAAGCTTCTTTACGCCTATGGAATATTTTTTTCCTGAAAGTATGAATGAAAACAAAAATTTTCTTCTTTTATTTGTTCGAATCGGATGCGCCATTCAAAAGTTATGAATTTTTGAAAATTTAAAGTTTGGTAGTCATTATCTCAGAAACAAAAAATCATAAGGCAATGAAATTTGGCAGGAATACTGTCTATATATAGTTCGAAATGCGGCAATCAAATCATTGGAGGATGACACTCATTCCATGCTTCCTCTTGACTTTGAAGGCTGCAGTAATGGTGTAAAACATCAAAGTGCCGGAAATCTCAAGTTCGAGCATTGTCTGGAAAATCTCAATTGGGGCGGCAAACACAGAGGGTGGGAAAACACAAGTTCGAACATGTCTGGAAAATGTCAAGTGGGGCCATGTGGTAACCAGATGTGATGCCCGATATTCCTGACCCCCCCCCTCCCCTTTAGTGATAGAGGTTTAGGATAATTGATTCAACCACTAACACGTATTTAATAAAATACTTAATTATATTTATTTATAATCGCGTAATATTAAGAGTTCATACAAAAGATATATTGATAGAAGTAAACCGAAGCGAGGTTTGAGACTAACTGAACTTGTGGTCAGTGCGGATTAACTCGTCGCCCGAAAGGTGACAGAATAAGATGTGCGAGAGAGAGAGAGAGCAAATAATAATTCGGAGAGAGATAGCACTGGTATTCAATCGTGCGTTCCGGCGCTCGCTCCTCAGCACGTAAANACTCACGTGTCAATACACGGACACAACAACGCGTGCAGTTGAGACGACTGGACATCAGTGACATCATCGCTCTCTGTCACTCAACCGTCTAATGTATACTTCTCACTCGCGCCTATTGTATTCGTATCCGAATTCTCGCCTTTTGCGAATATTATATTCAGTCCGGCACTGACCGCCGAATACTCAGAAGTGAACACCTACTCCTTACATTATCTATCTTCACTTTTTGTATATAGTCTACGTCTTGTAAATATACTGTGATTGTTTTATAACTATCCCATTTGTTAGTGAATCGTTACATCCGTCAACCTCGATTCCAACACTGGTGACCCCGACGTGATCCACGCATCCTAGCCAATGTAGGAATCGAGGTTGTTGAGGGATGTAACGATTCACTAACAAATGCGATAGTTATAAAACAATCACAGTATATTTACAAGATGTAGACTATATACAAAAAGTGAAAATAGATAATGTAAGGAGTAGGTACAGGAGCAGGTGTTCACTCCTGAGTATTCGGCGATCAGTGCCGGACTGAATATAATATTCGCAAAAGGCGAGAATTCGGATACGAATACAATAGGCGCGAGTGAGAAGTATACATTAGACGGTTGAGTGACAGAGAGCGATGATGTCACTGATGT